CTATGGAGACCACACTCCTTGGGAATGGGTAGCTCTCTCCTGTGAAAGCGTGAGAGCTAAGAAACTCTCTACGGGAGAAGATGAAAATCACAGGACTCTAGAGATGGTTTAATAATGAGGAAAATGCAGCCCGGGCAGGGAAAGTCACTTTTTCAAGGTCACACAGAAAACACATGCCATAGCCAAGACAAGAAATTAAAAGGGAATAATAATATTCAACAACCAGTCAGAACTGGTGTCCTGGACTAACAGGGAAGGTGAGGCCTGGGAGTGGCACAGAAGTGACTCACGGGCTAAGCCAACAGCATGGGCACCAGAGGAAGAGGGCTCAGCAGCTGCTCTGTGACGGCGCTGTCCTAGGTGACTGCAGTTTCCTTTACTACGTATAATACCAATAGGAGCTAGACACCATTATTATCCCCATTTTGCTGATGGCAAAACTGAGGCATAGTCTAGATAATGTCCCAAGGTTTTAAAGGTAGAAAGTGAGAAAGCTGGAATGCAACTCGGGTTGACGATAAAGCCTGCACTCCTTCCGCACAGCTCTGCTCATTTCCAGGCCAGAGGCTGTTCTTCCATTTAAGGCCCCCCTTCCTCCCTGCATATCCTCAGTCCAGGCTCTCTGGAGTTATATAGGACACTTCAACACCCCTAAAACAACACATACACAAATGCACACTCACACACATACACATGCATGCACACACACATTCTAGCCTAGTCCAAAAACAACACACACGCACGCACACACACACACACACACACTCATGCACACTCTAAACTAGTAGGGACCTGGTAAGGCAGCAAGATGGCCGAATCCATTAGCACCACCAAGCACAGCACATATTTATGGCCCCAATTACAGCCTTCGCCTCCTGCCACAGTGAAGGACGGGGAATAGTGACAGGAATAGTTGTGTGCAGTGGGGTCTGAGGCCTCTGTAGCAATACTACAAGATTACAGAGATGTTAGCAAACCCGGCTGATGGCGGCTCTATTATAATGATAAATCTACAGCTTTATTTAGAAATAATGAGACTAGGGGCAGAGGAAGCTGGGAGGGAAGAGCATGGTGATTTTAGCCAATTGAAGCTCTGGTTGGAGAGACAGTGGCACACCTCTGGGAATGTCCAGGAGACCATCAGAGGCCCTTGGGCATCTGGAAGAGAGACAGGGAGAGCAGAGGGCAGTGCTTCCCAGGGCTGGAATGGATGTGGCAGACTCCCAAAATTTCCATCCCAGGCCTGAGTTTCTTAATTCCGTGCAATGCAAGAGGCCTCCAACTGCCCTGCAGGCCCGGTTTGCTCTGGCTCTCCAGGCAGCGGGGCATATTAGCTGCTGTGCTGCCCAGATTTCTCCCTGGAACAATCTAGACTGGGGAGGCGAGTGTCCCTTGAGGCTTAAGATTTGCAATTAACAAAGGGTTAGACTCCTCGGATGTGCACCTCCCCTTCACTAGCCTTGAGCTCAGGGCTCTGTGGCCGTGAGAAAACAATGCAAATGCTTCTGGCTTTGGTACTTCAACTCAAGCACGGGGTGGGGGCAGGAACAAGGGACTTGCCTGGTGCCACCTGCCAGGGCCGAATCTGACTCTCCTGCACAGACTCAAGGAGCAACACAGGCAGCGTTCACAGCACTTGGGTGAGCACAGAGCAGCCCCCAAGTCCCCTTTCTCACAGTACCTTTCCTTCTGCTCAGCATGTGGGTCACGGACCCTCTGCTTTGGTCCAGACTACCTGACCAAACCATCCCATTCACCTCTGAATGGGATGTCTTACCCCAGACACAAACCATCCCATTCACCTCTGAATGAGTGCACAGGCTGGGTCTCTGCCCACCAAGCCTGACTCTAGCTATTTTCTAAATACTACTTGAGCTGCTTCTCCAAGAAGCCTTCCCAGGTTAACCCATTCCATGCCAACTACTTCTTTAATAGTCTTTCCCTTGGGCACCCATATATAGTCTTAATTGAATGAAGTAAGCCACTGGTCATTTAACAAGAAAGTACTGGGTTCTTACACTCAGCCCTGAGGGAAAATACAAGAGAAAGTCAAAAGTGGGTCACAAGCCATTCCTGAGCCATTGGGAGGACTTTACAAGATAGAATATGACTCAGGATACAACTTGGGGTTACAGAGAACACACTGGAGAGGCAGCTGCTGTGAGACCGGGAGGCCACGTGGAGGATGATGGCAGGTGGGCTCTGAAAGGTGGATTGGTTTGCACCAGGAAGAGAGGTGGGAACAGGCCTGCCTAACAAGGAGAACCTTGTGGGCAAAGGCAAGAGTCAGGAGTGTCAGGTGTTTTTCCGAAGCTGCCGAATTCCTGACCTCAGGTCCAAAGGGCAGCTCTGGGAATGGAATCAGACGCACCGCAGAGATGGGAGCTGGCTGTCAGCCGCATTCAGCTCATCAGTGCTGTCCCCCATTGTGCTGGCTGTGGGAATTTATACACACTCAGTGCTCTGTCATTCCTGGACACTGTGATGACTTGGGCCTCCCTGGCCCCCAAATAATTAAAATTTGACAGCACCACGAACAGGTACAAGCAGCAGCCTTCTTGCTTGAGTCCTTGCCTGCAAGGTGATGAACCTGCTCCTGAAAATTCTGCCTGCTGGTGGGCAGCGGGCTGGAGATCACCAGGGGACTCACTTGAGAAGGAACCTGCAGCTCAGACAGTAAGACAGGCTGTCTGAGCACGGGACTGGCTCTGCAGCCTTGGCAACTCCTGGGCCCGGATTCCCTCTGCACCTGGCTAGAATGCTCCTGCTTCCCCTTGGCCTATTGAGTTACTTATGACTGTCCTTCACCACCTGATTTAATTCTCCTCACCCAGGAGACCTTCCCCAGCTGTCCTGACTGTAAGGATCCTGCAACCGTACGCAGCGGATAGTATTTGCTGCTTTGCTCGGCCAGCTACTGCATAGACATTTCCTGTCTCTGTAATTAGATTACAAGTTTCTGTGGGTCAAAGAGGCTGTTTTCTATCCCAGGGCCATCCCCACCCCCGTGCCTGGCACAGTGTTCTTGGGAGGAGGAGACAGAGGAGAACTATAATGATACTAGTTGAGGATGATGAGGATGATGGTGATTTGTCCCGTGCTCTTCGGTTGATCTGCCTTTTCAGAAACCAGGCTGGGGAAGTGGGGATGGGACAAGGAGAGGACAGGACAGGACAGCCACAGGGTTCTCAGATATGAAAAGGTACATCCAGGTGAGGAGTGTGCTTGGGCACAGACTGCCTACCCCAGGACTGAGGCTTCCATTCATGCCTGAAGTCAGAAACAATGGACCGTGGGCTCTGGCAAGGAGCAAAGGAGGCTCCTAGGAGGGCTGCGCTGAGCTCCGCTTCCTGCAGCCCCTGGCCCTCACCCCCATCCCTAGGTGACAACTCACTGTGAGGAGGGCTGAGCTGCTTTTCTCTACCTATACAGTTACCATAATGAAGCCACAGCCTAAGGAAACCACAAAGGAAGCGCTGCGCCAGATGTAAATTTCAGAGTGATTTATGGAGTGGAGCTCCCCAGCTTGGGGCTGGTGCACAGCTGCTGTTCCGATCCGCCCCGTCTGCCCGCCCCGTCTGTCTGCTGGCCAGCCAGCTACTTGAGTTCTTCTTAAGGATGACATTTCAGGAAAGCAAAGGTGGGGGAGGCACTGGGCCACTGGGCTGGACTGGTTAAAGTCAGCAATAGCTATGAGAATGGGGCACAAGCAGAGCCCACAAAGCTTTCTCTCTTTGAACACATCAAAATTATACCCTTTGCACACCAGAGTCCCTCTCCTCATAGGCTCAACACAGAGATATTGAGTATTGACTATTGAAAGGGGAGTCTGCTGACAGAGTGGGGTAGCAGCTCCTCAGAGATACAGTGCAGGAAATACCCAGGTTGCTGCTCAACCTGTTAGCACTCAAGAGAGCAGATGCAAGACCACCGGAGTTGGAGAAAACGCCCCCATTGAGCTCTCAGCTGCCTGGGTGGGCTTAGAGAGAGAACACTAACTATACCTGCAGGATGCAGCTACACAGCTTCCTCAACCCAGGGAACTGGAGCAAAGGGCTATGTCAGACCGAAGGGCTCTACATGTGCCCTCTCTGGTTCTCTGTGCCAAACCTGCGCTCCCTTCTCTTAAAAGCCAACTTGAGCCCCAGTTCCTTGAAACCTTCTGTGGTTAATTCCAGCTGATTGCAAACAGCTCAGCACCCACCTCCTGTGTAGGGGTTAGCCAGGTCTCCTTTTCAGCTGGCCTTCCCCATCTCCCAGACTTCCCTGGGGAAAACAGTGCTCAAGCACAGGGACTCTGCTCTGTGTCCCTCGTCATTCATGCTGTTCATTAGGTATGTCCAGCTCCCCTTCTGGGCACTTGGTAGGATTACTTTGCCGCTTCTCCCTTGATATTAGGAGTTACCATGTGTCTTGTCCTAACAGGAGTGGAAGTGACATGTGTCACGTCTTCGTGGAAGCTTTAATAAATAGTGCATGATCTGCCACTTCCTCTTCCTCCTGATGTTTAGCTGTGGGGGCACATGTCTAAATGCAGCCTCTGTTGGCTTGGGTCCCCAGGTAACAGGGTGGAGTAGAGTCCCCAGCCCAGCTGCAAAGCACATGAAACATGAAGTCTAAAGCCACAAAATCCTCAGACTGTTTGCTGCTGCTGCCTAGCCTGGTTCAGCCTGATTGATATGGCCTGTTTTGGTTGCCCATGCCAAGCTTCTAATGCACATCAGTGCTCTCAGTAGAAAGAACCACCACAGAACACGCATCCAGAAGCCACAGATAAAAATTCCCTTCACTTTCTACCTACATGGGGCCTCTGCTGTCTGCCATCCTAACCCGCGGCAGAGTGCAAGGGTAGGCTGGGCCACTGGGCAGTTTCCACACTCCTTCTTCATATCCCAAAGGGCAAAGGCCCATTTGTTCTAGGAACTGAGAGGTTTGGGACATGTCCCACCCAACCCAGAATCACACATCCTCAAGAAGCCAAGGAACTAGACTGTACTCACACTCGTGGCGTATTGAATGTCCTTCCAGATGGAGGTTTCCCGAGACAGGTCAGAGGCCTCAAAGAGGTTGTCCAGGATGACCTCTCCAATCATGTCATGGCGGGAGAAGCGGTCGAAGTCGAAGACACTGAGATGCAGCTTGCGGTCAGCCAGCTCCTCGTAGGGCACGGGGAAGTGGAAGTTCTCGTCGAAGGTGGGGTTCAGGGTCTTGCGGTGCACCCGGGTCTGCAGCTTGCATTTGCGGTCGGGCAAGAGGTAGATCTTGACGTAAGGGTCAGAGCTCCCACAGAAGTCCTTGGCAGGGAGGTCGAAAGCCTTCAGGATACGCACAATCAGGGTCTCGGTCTCATAATCGTAGCGAAGGCTGAAATTGATCTTCCCGCAGCTCTTGGTGGCCTCAGACTTAGCATCGTCCCCATCCACCGACTTCTGCTTGTAGAGCTCGGGCTTGATGCGGCCGATGCTGGTGGGCTGCTCTGCGGCTGGCGGAAGCTCATTGCCATAGTCTACACTGGAGACATGCATCTGCCTTGGCAGGTGGCGCTTGAAGGATGTGTGCCTGGTGGAGGTGGCAGAGGGAAGTGTGGTCAGGGCTCAGGGGAAGGGGAATGTAGACAGACACAAGCCTGGAGACCCTGGCTCATCCAATCCCTTGTTGAGTCCCCTTTTCTTCCTCTTATTGACCCCACTTTTCTTCTGCACACACTTTGTGTGCAAGGTTCTTGTGAGCATTACATGTCTTAATATATGTAAAGTAGTTGGAATGGTGTCTGGTATACAGTAAGCTCAGTAAACATAGCCATTGCTATTGTCATCACTTTTTCCTGCTTTCCTGTTACCTGCTTTTTAGGTTTATTTCCTAGCAGATATGACTCCAGTTCCCTTATTAAATCATGAGATCCCTTAAGAGAAGGACCATCCCTTCTTATCCTCAACGTGGCAACCCCCTCGTCACCGTCACCACCGTCACCGCCACCATTTGTTCGGCATTTGCTATACGGCAGGCAGCGGGGTCGATAAAAGCATGGGCTTTGGAGTTAGACTGCATAGGCTAATTTTGGCTCTGTCACTTTCTAGCTGAGATCTTGGGGAAGTTATTTAACCTCTCTGTGCCCTAAAAATGAGAATAATACAAGTAACGACTGCATAGGATAGCTGTGAGAGTGAAATGAATTGATTACATATGAAGTACTTAGAAGAGTAATCATAAGCAATAAAAGTGTTAGCTCTCCTTATAGATCACATTGATTCTTCCATTGGCTCCTCACAACTGCCATATAAAAGTCATCAGCCCTACAGTTGGAAAAAGCGAGGCTTAGGGAAGGTGAGCAACTTGCCCAAGGCCATGAGACAAACGGTCAGTGTGACCCTCAGCATGTTGATTCCTGGCCTCCAGTCTGAAGACCAGGCCTCCTTTTCTTTGGTTGGTCCCCTGAGAGCCTGGAGGGCCATTGCAGGCACCTAGGAACCCATCAGAGCCCTACGTTTCGAGTAAATACAATGCCTCATGCATGCTTGCACCACATCTTTTAAAAGTGTTTCTGAATTTAGGGTAGGTTTTTGCTATGCTTTTCTTGTTGCTATTTTCAGTTAAAAGATATTGTATATATTTACAATTGTTGTCATGCAAGGAACTCTGAAAGGCTTTAAAGGAATCCTCAGTCTCAAACTATTAAGACTCTTGCCTTATCTGCCATGCGCTGCAGACTGTAGCTATCAGTCTTAATGACATACCCCTAAACACACCATCAACTCCTGCGTCTCTAGGCCTTCGCATATTCTCTCCCTTCTGCCTGAGGTCTTTCCGTCCAAATATCCAACACTCCCCGATTCCACTATTCCGTTCCCTTCACACCCACACACACCCCAAGTGCTCACCACATGTACAGCAACCTGCCTCAAAGGTTTGCCTTTTGTGAAGTCTTTCCTGGTGCCCACCTCTTTACTGATCACCCATCATGGATCACATCATCTGACATATTTCTCAATCAAAGGATATGTGTTATTATTTCTGATCTCTGATCCTCACAAGGTGGAATCTCATAGGTGTATTAAATAAGAGAGTGTGGAGATACGGGGGTCAGGGAAAGGAGCGGGCCACTCCTCACCTGGTGGATGACGCTGGCTCTGTAGTTTGTCGCTGCAGCCGCGTGTGACGCATGATGTGCTCCTTGACCGACATCTGCACCTCAGCTGGGATATCTGGGGATGTGTGGCTGATCTTCACGGCCGCCTCCAGGAAGCCCAGGGTGCTGGGGTCCTTCAGCTTGTCTGCCATGTTGCCTCTGAAGCTGGGGCTCTGGAGGGCTTCCAAGGGGGGATTAGCAGAAGAGGGACTGGAGGCCTCCTTGTTCCTCCAGGGCATCCAGCACAGCTTCCAAAAGAGAAAGAGAAAAACTGCCACCAGGGCCACGCCACACACAATAACTACAACTGCGAGAAGGCTGACAGAGGTGCCTGCCCTCGGCATGAGCCAGGCAGGGAGGGACAAACAGACAGAGGTGGGGAGAAGCGGGTGAGCGTGTTGGAGGAGGGAGCACACAGAAGGGACAAAGACGGAAGAAGAGAAAAGAATGCTCATGAGAAAGCTGCCAGGTCAGAGGGAGAGGTGGTGTCAGGGTTGACTCTTGATTGTCCACTTCGTGGAATATCTGCAGCCTTGTGTTCACCTCAATCTGATTCTTCCAGCATCATCCCCTCTCCCGCCCCCACCACTATCCCCCCCAGCCAGCTTGGGGAGCACCTGGGCCGTCGTCTCTACTGCCTATTGGCATGTGCACAGGGAAAGGAAAGTAATTTAAATAGCAGCCTAAGCAAATGTGCAAATTCGTGAAGCGTTCATGCTCAGATGCTGTTTGAATTTCTATTAGAGCTGCTACTGTGGCCAGACTTAGAGTCATTTTTGTCGACAGCCCTCTTCCTTGACAGGCTGTGATACGTTGGGGGGCAGAGGCTGGCTAACTCATTCTCATTTCTTCTTCAGCCCATCCCTACTGAGCCCAGGACAGGAACTCAATAAACATTGAGTTGACTTCAAGTGAATGACATTGAGCATAATCTCTTTAAGGGCAAGGATGAGCTTCTTCTGTACTCCCAGAACTCTGTGCATAGTGGGTTCTGTAAATACTTTTATCAAGTTGGAATCTGATCTACACAGTGAACCTCAAAGCTAAATACAGGCACGCTTCATTTCACGGGGCTTCGCTTTATTGTGTTTCACACGTATTGTGTTTTTTACAAATGGAAGGTTTGTGGCAACCCTGCCTTGAACAAGTCTGCTGCTGCCAGTTGCCCCATAGCGTGTACACATTTTGTGTCTGTGTGTCACATTTTGGCAATTCTCTCATTATTTCAAACTTTTAAATTACTGTTGTAGTTTTTATGGTGATCTGTGATCTGTGATCTTGAATATTACTCTCGTCATTGTTTTGAGGTGCCATGGGCTGCACCCATGTAAGATGGCCAACTTAATTGATAAATGTTGGGTGTGTTCTGACTGATCTCCTGGTGGACATTCTCCTTGGGCCTCTCTATTTGCTGAGCCACAAGAACATGGAGATTAGGCCAATTAATAACCTTACTTTGACTTCTAAGTGTTCAGGCGAAAGGAAGTGTCACATGACTCTCATTTTAAACTAAAAGCTAGAAATGATTAGGCTTAGTGAGGATGGCATGTCAAAAGCCAAGACAGGCCAAAAGTGAGGCATTTTGTGCCTAACAGGCAAGTTGTGAATGCAAAGAAAAAGTTCTTAGAGGAAGTTAGAAGTGCAGTAAGCAAGCAAACAGCCTCACTGCTGATGTGGAGAAAGCTTTAGTCATCTGGGTAGAAGATGAAACCAGCCCCAACACTCCCCTAAGCCAAAGCCTGATCCAGAGCAAGACGGAGACTTTCTTTCATTCTATGAAGACTGAAAGAGGAGAGGAAGCTGCAGAAGAAAAGTTTGAAGCTAGCAGAGGTTGGTTGGTGAGGTTTAAGGAAAGATGTCCTCTTCATAATGGAAAAGTTCAAAGCAGCAAGTGCTGATGTAGAAACTGCAGGAAGTGATTCAGACGATCTAGCTAAGATAATTGATGAAGGTGACTACACCGAACACCAGATTTTCAGGGTAGAAGAAATGGCCTTAAACTGGGAAAGGATGCCATCCAGGACTTTCAAAGCTAGAAAGGGGAAGTCAATGTCTGGCTACAAAGTTTCAAAGGACCCGCTCACTCTCTTTTTAGGGGCTCATACAGCTGATGACTTTAAGATGAACCCAATGGTTATTTACCATTCCAAAAATCTTAGGGGCATGAAGAAGTATGCTCAATCTACTCTGCCTATGCTCTAAAAATGGAACATCAAAACTGGATGACAGCACATCTGTTTAAGAATAGTTTACTGAATATTTTAAGCCCACTGTTGAAACCTACTACTCAGAAGAAATGATTCCTTTCAAAATATTACTGCTCATTGACAACGCACCTAGTCACCCCAGGGCTCTGATGGAGATGTACAAGGAGACTAATGTTGTTTTCATGTGGGCTAACACAGCATCCATTCTGCAGCCCATGGTTTGAGGAGTCATTTCAACCTTCAAATCTGATGATTTAAGAAATTTTGTAGTCTTTAGCTGTCATAGATAGTGATTCCTCGGATGGACTTTGCCTCTGGGCCAAGTAAATTGATAACTGTCTGAATAGGATTCACCATTCTTGATGCCGTTAAGAACATTAATGATTCAGGGGAAAAGGTTAAAATATCAACATTAACAGAAATTTTTGAAAAGTTGATTCCAATCATCATGAATGTCTTTGAGGGGTTCAAGACCTCAGTGAAGGAAGTAACTGCAGGTGTGGTGGAAATAGCAAGAGAACCAGAATAGAAGTGGCACCTGAAGAATGGTGAGGAGTTGCTTCTTATGGATGAGTAAATAAAGTAGTTTCTTGAGATAAAATCTCCTGGTGAAGATGCTGTGAACATTGTTGAAATGACCACAAAGAACTTAGAATATTAAATAATAAATAATATTAAATAACCTTAGTTGATAAAGCAGTGTCAGGGGTTGAGAGGATTGACTCCAATTTTGAAAGACGTTCTACTGTTGGCAAAATGCTGTCAAGCAGCAGTGTATGCTACAGAGACGTCTTTCATGCAAGAAAAGGTCCATTGACGCAGCAAACTCACTGTTGTCTTATTTAAAGAAATCGCCACAGGCACTCCAGCCACCAGCAACCACCAAACTGCTCAGTCAGCAGGCACCAACATTGAGGCAAGACCCTCCACAGGCAAAAAGAGGTTAAGACTCACCCTATGATTGTTAGCATTTTTTTTAAGCAATCAAGTATTTAAAATTAAAATATATACATTGTTTTTGGGTGCATATTAAAATTAAAATATATACATTGTTTTGGGTGTACATTAAAATGAAAATATATACATCGTTTTCTGTTGCATACTTAATAGACTAGAGTATATTTTACACTGTATATGTATACATATGTATAGGTATATATATTACAATATATACATTTTGTAATATAATCACTGTAATGTAATCACTGCCACAGATAGTGATTCCTCTGATAGATCTGGGCAAAGTAAATTGAAAACCATCTGAATAGGATTCACCGTTCTTGATGCCATTATATTTACAATATATTACAGGATATTTTATACTGTATATATTCACATATATGTACATATACATATATATATACTGTATACACTTAATAGACTGTAGTATATTTTATACTGTATATTTTATTTAATTTTTAAATTAATATTATTATTAATTTTAAATTAAAATTATTTAATATTTTTAAAAAATATACTGTAGTCTATTAAGTGCACAATAGAATTATACAAAGTTATATATACATATGTATGCATAAAATTATATATACTTATATGTATAAAAGTTATATATACATGCATGTATATATAGTATAAAAGTTATATATGCATATATATACATATGTATATATACATGTATATGTTATATATAACTTATATGTAAATAAGTTATACATAACTTCTGTGTGTGTGTGTATATATATATAACTTTCATATGCACTAGGAAACCAAAAAATTGGTATGACTTGCTTTATTTTGCTATATGCTTTATTGCAGAGGTCTGTAACGGAACCTACAGTATCTCCAAGGTATTCCTGTACAAATGATCCCTAGAGCTGTCCTTTTCCATTCTTGTGAGTATTCAAGAGCTTTTCTCTAAAACTGGGGTATTTTAAATGTTGTAATTGGTTTGGAGGTGGGCACTCACTGCCCCATCCCCAGCCCACCCCTGGCCCCAGGGATGCCCATTATCCCAAGAAAGCTACAAGGGATGCCTCTCTTTGTGAGAAGTTATGAAGCAGACCTCCCATCCCACTTCCCTCCCCAAATCTGGGAATGAACCTTTGAGCCCAAGGTTTCTTCTTGCTCTGAGTAGAGAAGTCAGGAGACTCTGAAGCAAGGGCATGCCTTGCGGGGTTTGCAAAAAGTTTACTGTGGACAAGCTAGCAGAAGAGTTTGGTTTGGCTTCCTTAATGATTGAAATGTTAAGAAATTCTGTCATCTTCATCATCATCCCAGATTTCTGTCTTCACTGGAAAAGATCACTGACTTGGTAACTGAACATGGGCTCCCACATGGTGGGAACTGCTGACTCTCTTTGTAGGTATATGTCCTCACCAGCTCAACCCTCCACTCCCTGTTCCCTACCTGGCCCCTGAAAGCTTGTAAGTTTGCAGCCCCTGTATTAGCCTGTCCCAATGCCTTAAATATCTTACTATTTAAGGTGAGAAATGACCCCACAAGTACTGAGGCCAGGCTGTGCCTTTAAAGGTGGGAGCAGTGGTCCACAGAAGGGACTTGCTTAGAGTCACATATTGGGCAGACACAGAGCCTGGACTAGGGTCCAGATGTCCACCACCCAGCCTGGCACGCTTTCCTCTGCCCTGACCTGTTTGTCTGTGGTTAAACTCTAGGCTACTGTAGGCTACTATGACCCTGTGTTTTTCCTCTTTGTCTGACTCAGGGCCTTGCATAGAAACTGACACATGAAATGAATGAGTGAATGAAAGAATGGTACATGAAAAGGCTGTAATTAGCTCTCATTTCAATTAAGTTCAAGCAACATTTACTGAGTACCTGCCATGTGCCAAGTTCTGAGTTAGACTTGGGGTACAAAGATGCCCAGGTCCCTCCTAACGGGATCCAGGTACTCCCATAGCACATAGGCTCCAGGGAAAGAGATTCCACATCAAAGGGGCCAAGAGGAGGTCAGGATATCAGGCACTCTCTCTGGGAAGCCAGTACTGCCTTTTCACTCCTTTGCTGCAAGTTACTTGCCTGGATCAGCTATCACCTCTGTGAATAGGGAATAATAGCAGAGA